CACGAAGTTTAATTATATCTAACTTGGTATTTAAAGTAAGAGGCTTACGACTCCTCTTTTTATCGCTACTACCCTTAGACGTCTTTGTAATTACACTGTAGTAACACAAAAATATTATATAAATATACAGTTTGTAATAACTTTGAAAAATTGCCAGAAATACGGAGACGCGGAGCGCACAAAAGCTGTAAACAGACTGAATCAGCGACGATAAAATGGCGCCGGATGCACTTCTCTGACTCAGCTGTTGAGCGCCGTATTAGCGAATCGCCGTAAAGCGGAGCGCCGAAAAGCGGGGCCCTACTGTACTTGAAAGTTATTATATTTTATTTGAATAAATGACAAATTATTATATTGTATTTGGATATGCATGAGATGTTAATTGTTGTTACAACCTGTCTCCGGAGGTCAAAATGATAACAGCGATATTTTTAAAACGATTCTAAAATCTATAATTGAATTTTGGCCTCCGGAGACAGGTTGTAACAACAAGTAACATCATGCATGTCCAAATAAAATAAAATAACTTTCAAGTATATGTAATTTATCCACACACATTAACCTAACCTATTTTTAAAGTGATGTGTCCCGATAACCCACAAGTACCCATTATTTATATTTAGAGCTTGATTCCTGGTGTGAATTCTTTAGAAATAATGCTTCTCTACAATCTTTGGGACTTAAAAATGGAAACAATGCACACAGTGTTGCTTAGTGATTTGAAAGTATTACTATCTTGTCAGTTGTGGAGTATTCTTATCAAAATAGGTGTACATCCAATATTGAATAACTCTTTTTCAGTTGGATTACAAGGTAGATGAGAAGAAACTGAAGGAGGTGTTCAGACTTGCAGGAAAGGTTGTATCTGCTGAATTAAGCCTCGACAAAGAAGGAAAGAGTCGAGGTTTTGGCGTTGTTGAATATGAGCACCCTGTTGAAGCCGTGCAAGCAATCTGTATCCTTTGCAATATTCAGATTTTATTATGTGTGTCTTAAGATGTGAGCGTGGTATACTAGCTGTAGAAGCAAAATAAATGTGGACATGATGAGTACTCTGTGGTATAGCTTGTGTGTTGATGTGGCTGTTGTCAGCCTCAGGCAAAGATCTTTTTATTTGATGTAAAATTTATACTAAAAAAATGAGAAATGTACAGATTAGTTACAGTTATTATAAGAGATTGTGTGTTACTATTAATTATGTTGATCTTAACTTTTTGGAAGTTTTTCGCCATTCTCCGTGTGTGTGTGGATGTTTTGGCTTTACAAAAGCAACTGTTCACAGTTTTTCAGGTTTGGTACATTGAGATAAATCATTAGGTCATGTGACATTTTGTTTATGATGTTCATCTCAAAAAAGCTACAGTCACAAAAGGTTGTGAAAGCAGGTTGTGTAGCTACTCTGAAAGTGGTAAATTCTGGAAATTATAATCTTGAGAAAGGTTTTCATGCAGTGTTTCACTTTGCAATCTTTCCCCCAAATTTTATGCTCGTACAATTCTCGCTTAAGAGATTTAATTTTCCTGTGCTGTGGAATTTCTTAATGCTAAGAAACACGATGCCTAAATATTCAGTAAGAACCCATTTTGTGTTTGCCAAATCTTTAGATATTGTGTTGAATGAACAAAAATATCAGAAGCTGCTGTTGCTTCTTGTGGCAGAAACCTTTTCTCCTGGTATCCTAATACATAAGTTATCTAAAACATAGACTTCATCATAGTTTCTAAGTGGATGCGTTTGTGCGGCCTGTCAAAGGCGAGTGAATGAAAATGAGTTTTGTCTCTCCCAGTATTGGATTCCACATTTCTCAGCTTCTCATGTGCACTCCTTTAACTGTGCTGGAAAACAATTTTCTGTTTGAAACATCAGAGAAACTTATTTGAAAATTTAAAGAAATCAAGAATAGAATGCAATGTAGCAACAAACCTCCAACAGTGTATATTACTCAGAAGACCTTATGGCAGAGTGCCATATCATCTTGTTATTTATATTAAGGTGATGTGATACTGCATTAACACTTTTGACAGTATCAGGAAGAGACTCTGCTGTGCTATTTGGGGCTTTAAATTTATTCAACAGTTCAGTGAAGTTCTTAAAATTTGGTGAAGATCTTCTTATGTTTTGGTGCATAATATTCAGTCCATATAGAAGAGCCAAGGTATTTAGACTGTAGGGCTACCAGTTTAGAGGTACGCTACTGCAATGCATGTGCAGATGGGGTGTGGCCAGTAAATGTGAAAGTACCTAAGCTGTGTTATTTATAAGCTCGCTGTTAATTTCCTTGACTCTTGTTTAGCTATGTTACATAACCAAACATTATATGACAGAAAGTTAACTGTGAGGATGGACAGGGTAGACCATAAACCTGAGGGGCCACCAAAATTACCTGAAGGACTAAGAGGATTGGGAATGGGCCTGGGAGCCGGTGGAAATCCTCTTCAAGATGTTTCACGTGAGTCATCTCCACTCTCATGTATCACCTACCTTAAGAGTTAAGTAAATACTTGAAGATTTCTGTCTTCTGGGTTGTTGCGCTGTGTAGTCTGGTCAATGTTAACCAACGTTTCAGAGGTCATACTGCCTCTGTCATCAGGGCAGCTGCTGGGCAAGTGATGTGTGAATGTATAACTCCTCTATTCCTGAGTGTAAAACTTTGGTCTGTATTACAAATCACTCCTCGATGTATGTTATACTGGTTGAGAAACATCTATATGTTTTACTTTTTTATCATGTAATGATTGTATTCCGTCAGTTTTTCTTCTTTTCATTGTCTTGTGTGCTTCTTAACTTGACTTAGCAACTGTTATAAATTTGTTAACCGTTTATTCAGTTGATATTAATATATTGCATTTAAATGCAATTTCAAGGTAAATCTTAATTGAGCTGCTGGTTTGATTAAATATTGGTCGTCTTTGATCGTACAATTAGGAAACTTGCCATGTGCAGAAGCAGGTCTGGCTGGGGCTGTCCCTGGAGGAGCTGCAGCAGGATTGGGCACTGGACTAGGTAATTGAACTTGTTTACATATCCTTTCACCGAAATTATATTCAGTTGAAATAAGTATCCATAAAGTACAACTTGAGATTTTGTGAGCATAATTGTACAACATTGTGTGAGACAATCTTGAACACCTACTAGTTAACAAAGAAGCCAAGGAACAGGAATTTTATATTCACTTTCCTTTGATATTATCCACTGTCGGTGTTGTAGAGCTCTATAAAATGTTGTAAAATTTGGTTCATTCCTTTAAGAAAATATTACCTCTCCATTACAATACCCAGCCATTGATCAGTTTATGTTTATTATGAGAATCAAACTAAAGTGGCGAGTGTTCAAAATAGGGGATTGTATAGTTACTACCATCCTTTTTGTAATATATTGCATCATATTTTAGGTGCAGCTGCATTGTCAAATGTTGTTGGTCCCTCCACGTTAGGTAAGATAAATTTTACTATTTATGAAATGCTTAGTAAAACATTGTAGTAGGATGTTTTGCATGTGTTTTAAACCCCCCCCCCCCCAAAGTGGTGTGATGATGAATATGGTTGATGTACCTATGATAGTTGTACGTTTACACATAGTCATTAATTTATTAGAGAAACATGATTCTTTCTGTTAAGTCAGAGTACAGTTGTATTTGGCTTACTGGCAGGGAAATATTGATGCCTTTATTAATGTATGTGACTGGGCTTTGAATAGGATATCACATGAAAATGCTGGTGTTTTCCATACAATAATTTATTTCAGTTCTTTGCTTGCTACATTTTTCCTGTCACAAATAGAATTATATCCAGTCACTATAAAATACAAACCTAAGAAATACAAAAATTCTGAGGAAAAATGTTCATAAAATCCTGAAGCTCTGTGGAAAACCACGTTAATAGAACTGCAGTAGTGTCGAGTTGCAGGATTTGGTTTGAAAGTTTAGTGAAACCCAAAAGAAAAGTAGGGTTTGAACATCGCTGAAGGGCGGTACTGTATTGTGATGGTGATTTTTTAAATTCTAACTCATTGCTCATTTTTACTATTTGATGGACTACTATGATGGGTAGAATGTTATTTTTCTGGAAAGTATTGGTTACACAGACATATTAGAAATGGTATTTACTGGTATAGAAAATGACAGGTAATACTACTGCGATGTTCTTACCATCTGCACTTGATAAGTGTTTGTGGAATTTTCCTCGGCCCACTGAGTTATGGAGCACAGTTCACAAATGATGCTGACCGCTAATCTCCGCATCCATCATATCTTAATTGTATGTGGTTGTTAGTGGTAGGGATAAGTTTGCTTATGTGCATGAAAAGTGTTTTGTGTTATTTTACTGAATTATTATCATGTGAAAAAGAATTAAATTATTAAATATCTTCCTTAGGATTGTACATTTTACTTCACACACCTTTAGGAGCTGTCTTTCAAGTATATTAATATTGTGGGTCTTATCTTACATTTGGAAATAATGAAACAAGTGTCAGAGATGCTGCCCAGGTGAAGAACTCTGAATGAGAATTAGAACTCTTGATTTTAATAGTGATCTGTGAAAGCAGTAATTACACTGAAACATTTTTGTTAAAAAATATTTTCATGTTTCCCACACACAAGCACTTTCAAGACTTCCCTCGACTGTTGTTTCCCAAATTCTTAGTCTGAGGTTGCCATTTGTGAATAAATCATTTGAAGAAGAATTAGGGATGTGGTGCCACCAAAGTACTTCTGGCATTGTAGCAAAACAGATTTAGATCTCCAGTTTCTTGAGATGACAGTAAAGCTAGCTTACTTAATGTACTTCTTTTTATACAGGTCTTGGTAACACAGCAGGACTTCAGGCTGGTTTAGCAGGAGTTGGTGGTCTTGGAGGTGGTAGCCTGATTGGCCCATCCCTTGGTGGAGGTGGTGATATAGGACTTGGTGCAAATTTGGGAGGAGCTGGAGCATTTGGAGGATCAGGATTAGGAGGTGGCCTTGGTCCTGCTGCCTCTGGTCTGGCAAGTCTTGGGGGTGGAGCTGGAGGACTGGGAGGTGGCAGCAGCTCCTATGGTAGTGGGATTGGAGCTGGAGGCTCAAGTTCATATGGCGCTGGAGCCGGAGGTGGTTATGGCAGCGGTTCTTCCTCTGCCCTGGCTGGTGGCTCTGGATTTGGCAGCAGTGGCAGAGATTTTGATTCTTTGAGTGCAGCACTTGGAGGTGGTGGTGCAGGCGGCTACAACTCGAGTGTAGCTGAAAGAGACTACAGGGCAGGAGCTGGTGGAGGCTCTGCGTATGCCAATGGTCCAGGTCGTGGGTCATTAGGTGGAGGTGCTACTTCTGGTAATGGCAGTCGCATATCAGACACAGTCATTGTTAAAAATGTAAGTAAGATGTTCATATTCATTTAATTTTAAATAAATACACTTAATATTATGTTGCTTTAGTTTCCTGTTTATAGCATTTGGGAGGAAATACTGCAACAGAAAAATGGATGTATAGGAATTTGTTAATAAGGTTTAGAATTTGAGCTTGGAAAGTTGCATGTTATTTGTTGCAGCTACCACCTGCCGCAACGTGGCAGATGCTCCGGGATAAATTCCGGGAATGTGGGGATGTTAAATATGCTGAAATGCGAGGCAAAGACATTGGACTTGTGAGGTTTAGCAGTGACTGGGATGCAGAACGTGCAGTCCGTATCCTTTCAAGAAACTGGACTTATGGTTTTGAATGAAACAGGATTCTGAAAATATTTACAGCTTTCTGTTGTGTAACATGTTCACGTACTTTTTTTGTGTTGCTTTTTTCTTACAGATCACCTTTCTTGCAATAAAAGGTTCTGAAATAATTGGAATTAACCTGGAATACAGGCTGAGAGCTTGAGAGCCACATAATCACGTTTCTACATGCCAGCAGAGGGAGCTGTCAGCCCAAGAAATTTTGGACAATTCCCTCTGCTGGCAAGCAGGTGGCAGTGGTCTTCTGGGACATAGCATCCTTATGGTGAGGTGGCTTCCCCTGACAAGATGAAGGATTCATGGCATGGCAGCCAATTCCCTAACAAACACAACTTGCAGATTGGTGCAAGTCACTGTGTACAATCCTGAAAGACTGTTTGCTGCATCTGTCAGGAAGTTATGAGGACGGTGGAAATGGTGCAGTGATCTCGGTGGGGAGTACTATGTAGCGTTTGTTTGGCTGTCATCTCTAAGCCTGTTTTCCAGGGGAATCCCAATAATAAGTAAAGTAAAGTTTGTCCCGCTACGTGCCATACAGGCGCTTGGGGTGAGTTGAGGTTTAGCTCCTCTCTTTCTTGACCTCGGCACTAGATGGGGGTGAGTGGTCAGCATCACGCCCCGGCCGGCTGGAGTCCCAATAATTTCTAAGTAAATAAATTTTTCCTTTTTCTTACAAATATTTCATAAAATGTAATTTGGGGTTGTGCTGTGAATATTTTTGTGATGTAATGTTTATCAGATTACCATTGTTATCATGTGCAGGAACTGAAAGGTCTTGAAAGACAGTGTTAAATGGAAAATACTACGATGCATGTTGGAGAACTAGCTTTTGTGAACCGAATTAACTTGGCTTATAGTCTGGTTCTAAGCATTTTGTGACATAACCAGCGTGGGTATGTAGGGTTCTTCATATAGCAGCTGTCAAAAACTTTGGACTGTATGTATAAAATTTGTATTTTATATTTGTGTGCTGATAATTTGTCATGTGCACATAGATATTTATTTTAATACATTTCAGAAATGTACATACAATCTGTCTTTAACAGTTTCTGCAGACATGATGGATCACTCACGTCTGGAGGGTCGTATCATTGATGTTGGTCTTTTCTAGACACCATTAAGGTTCCTTAACAGTTTCTTCAGACATGATGGATCGTTCTCGCATGGAGGGCCGCATGATTGATGTTGGTCTCTTCTACTAGAACAGTCATTGATAAGAGCATATGCTACAAAGTTCCCTAGTGTTGGTGTCATCATTTTTACTCTTTACGTACGTGCTGGCTGTCAGTTTGCATCACCAGCAAATGGTAATTGCTAGGTTTTTTATTTGATGTAACGTAGACAGGTTATCCTGCAATTGTTGTCCAGTGTTTCTTTATTTGGACTTTGTGGTTATTGTACAAAAGTTGTCGGCATCGATTCGATTCGTGTTACATTGAAAAGTTGTCAACATGGATTCAGTTTGTGTTACCTTTCAAAAAGTTGTCTGTGTGGATTCAACTGTGGGTGTCATTTAGCAAGAGGTTGGAATAGTGTGTCGCTCTGTTCAATTCTTGAGATGTATGAGTAAAAGGTTTCTGTTTTAGGTTTTTGTACTGAAGTAATTGATTTTTGTTGGCTGGTAGTGCTACTAGCAATACTTTGGTGCCGTTAGCTTACACACTGCTGCAAAAAAGGGTTGATCATTCATTGTAATCCCTAATTCACTATCGTCAATAAAATGTTTTACATAAATGTGAAAGGAGTTCTTTTTTATATAATTTTGGTTTAAGTGTTCCCATTTTCTTGTTATTGTTAACATCAGTTTTCATCAGAAGAGAAGACCAAGTTGAAGTGGATGAATCTTGCAGAAGGGAGTCGGAAGTTATGTTGGCATTGTATATAGTGTTTGCAGATATTTCCATTGTATTTAATATCTGTTGTAGCCAGCAACATTTTCTCTCCCCCTTCAAACCTAAGAAGTGAACATTGCAGGCATTCTGTGGTTCTGAAACTACGGGATGTCTTGTTCGTGTCTGTTGATCTGCGCAGTTGGGCATCTTGGCAGCCATCTTCTGATTAAAAACTTTTTTTTGGGGCTGTGGCACATTTTGATGGGTAAGTTGTATGGATAGATGGGTTGGTTTGCTTGGAATATCTTTCACTCAGTTGACAACATTTCATCAGTACCTGTTTGATGACAATGGGTTGGAATTTTTTCTGCATTTTACTGCTGAATAAAGATAGATTGGTTATTTTTTGTGACAGTGTCCTGCACGGGTTACTTTTTTATAGTTCCATCTGTTGTCAGATCTGCACTCTTGCTGTGGATTTGTGGCCGCTATATTTGTTGAATTGTAAGTACAGCTATTTCGTAAGAGTGCACAAAACGACAGCATGACTCTTGAAATGCGAAACAGCTTTGGTGGTCTATTTTATTAAACATGTCCAGTTTTCTTGATACCTAGTTTGGAAAAAGAGTATTTGCCATTCTGTATTTTGTGTCTACACACCATCTGCCTCGTGCGCCCCCCTGATGCTTTGAGGTCTGATCATTTTTACATTGGTGTTCTTGTCATCTGCATATATGGAATCGCTGCGTATTGAGTACATATTATATTGCGTTGCTATGTAATTTTGTAGATGCTTATCAACTTTCCTTCGATACTGCCTACGAGAGTACACAGTATCACAATCCAGAAGACATGTTCAGCTCTGTAGTAACCTCAGATCAGAGATTATGGATTATATTTACAAATTTTGTTGTCTGTAGTTGCTCATAGTAAATACGGATTTTGAATTTGCTATCTCATTCCCAGTCTAAATTTGTTTTGTGTTTAAACAAAACAGTTAAGAAAATAGAGCATATACTGTTTTAAAAATACAGGGAGAGAAAGTTAGTTTCCCTTTTTTAATGTGACTGCTTCAACAACCAACATAAGTGGAAATGTCTTAAAAAGAAGAGAATGTGACTAGTTTTTTCAGTCAGAGTCTGTCAAGTATGAAAAGTAAGTTAGGAGAGATGTATTCCTCTGAGGATATCCATATTTGTTCCATATTTCTGTATAATGTTTTGGATAGAAATTGTTTCATGTATTCAAAAGTGTATCTTAGCAGCTGTTTAGCGGAGTAGTGATGGACATGACGAGGTTTATTCTTGTCACTTGGTATAGTGCAACCCGGTGCAGGACCCTGAATGAAGGCACCTACGTTTAGAGAGTTCATCCTCTTCAGGCATTTCACTGACCCACATTATTCATTATTTTCTCTTATTGATGTAGACTTTGATCTTTCATTAATTATTTGTGGAAATGAAACAGTAAATTCTGCAGATGGAATTCACTCTTTGCCTGTGATCAGTATTGTATGCTTTTCTTGTTTCTCTCATGCCTGTTTATCTTTGTCCTTGCATCATAAGAATTTACTGAGGAATTTCCACAGCTGCTTTGCGTTAATATTTGTTCTTGATTGTTACATGAAATCCTAAAATTTTTGGACTATACTTGAATATTACTTTTTGTTTAGTTGGTAGTTTGTGATAGGGTTGGCAGATTTGGTTGGCTTTGAACTTTGAAATCATGAGACTTCAGAAGGGATTTACAACAGCATTTGGATTTTTTATGGTTGTTGAGTTTTTTTCAGTTCGAAGATATTAGAAGATTTCATCCTCTTGGCTTTCAGTCCTGCCAAGCTGTTTCTTATAGGAGTTGATTGGTCCACGTCTGAGCTTCTGGTGAAGATAGTTTTGTGAAGAAACAAAGTCAGATTGGTGTCCTCGTTAATATATCCTTTATGTAGGGGCTCTTTGTTATTTACATTGTGTTCTGATATTCAGTAGAGATGATTGAACATTGAAGAGTGGTGAAGTTGAGGGAAAATTTTTCACACAATGGGAATATGTTCTCAATCACCAGGTAGATTGGAAAAGGACACAGCATGATATTGGTACAAGCCAAATAGAATGAGTAGTGGTGCATGTATTCAGATTTGAAGTGTGGTTTATTCTGAGTTATATCTTCCTATTCTTGCTATTTCCTTTTAATATGTGCCAAAAAATGTTGGACTTCAAGAATTTCTTCCCTTGTGCTTCTAATATGGGATTAAAATATTTTAATTGTTTGAATAAACACAGACCGTGTGCCCTGTCTTGAAATGGTAACAGTTGGTGAATATAAAAGTAAATGCTATCTTCGCACTAGTTCTCAAAAACAAATTGTGTAGAGATTTTGACACATTTTAATTGAAAGTGTTATATAATATGTTAATATTGATATGTGTTGTTACAGCCTGGTACCTTTACAATTATAGAAAGCCCAGAGCAGTTAACAGAATCTTAATCCCAATCCCATGACGGATCAAGGTTAAGGCAAGGGGCCTTCAGAATGAAGCACCGTGGAAACAACTGGAGAGCTGTAACAAGGATAAATGTCCTACTTACCAAGATCAGGACATATAGTCAATTGCAGAAGCACTGCAACTAGAATTGGCTCTGAATTGACAGGTACTTGGTTTGAATCTCAACTATTTGACTGAGGTGTTTTAATTAAGGTGAATGACACAGATGATAACCAGCCATCCATTAATATTTTCTTAGAAATAACAAAGAACAATAGTGGTTGGTTGAAAATAACTTCAAGAAGTGTGGCATATGTGGCAAGCTCAATGGCATGGAGGACAGCAACTTACAGGACAGTGATTCTGACCATGTGAACTCAGCTGATAGCGAAAGTAGTGAAAAAAGTAACTACTATTATACTGGGGGTCTGCAGTGGCTGCACGGTCTGAGGCGTGGGCCTTGTACCGCTTGGTCACTGGGACCGTGGGTTCGAATCCCACTCAAGCCATGGATGTTTGTCTGCGTTTTTCTGTGTTGTGCTGTCCTGTGTACAGGTAGAGGCCTTGCGACGGGCCGATTCCTCGTCCAAGGAGTCCTACCGAATGTCTATAGATCAAGCCAACGAAAAGTTGGGCCCTGCAGTGATGAGGCAGTTGAAGAAAGGGTAATTCCCACTATCCGAGTACAACTATACTGATCTTGTGTAGTTTTATGTTTGATATGGGGAAGTAGTGTTTGAATTGTATAGCATTAATATTATTGTGATGTTAACAGACACTATTTTCATGTTGCAGGATGTCAGATCCTGACAGGATTGTGGCAGAAATGAATGAACATTGAGTTTTTATTCAGTATATTATATATGCTGTAAATGTATACTTTAATACTTAATAAATTCTCAGAAACCTTTTTTGTTCCTTAACTGCTTCCCTGATTATCCTGACATATTTTGGGTTGGTGATTTTTGCAAAAAATGTTAACCCAAGTTGATTTGGGATAGTATATATTCTTCCAAACACTTATTACCAAACTGAATTCAGATTATGGTGAAAATATGTATTTCATACTCTAGACGTCAGTAAATGACAGACTGCTGTACTTGTACTTCCTTAAAACACTTGTTGTTCCATTCAAAAGTCATAAGTTTCTCCTATAGTTTCATTTAAAGTTTACATACCTATTGTTTTTCTACTTTTGTTTTGGTCAACTTTATTTCTTGTTATTGTAGACAATTCACTGTGCCACTAATCTTGAATCATGCTGTTCGTCATATCATGTCCTCGTTATAAATTTAGTAAGTCATATAACTATACTCATTGAACAATCACTCTGACCACAGGTGTTTCATGTCTTTGTGCCCTTTCAGAAGTATTTGTTATATTTTATTTTATTGAAAAGACCAGCTGTAAAATATTTTCATTATACTTACCTGTTTCAGTATGATTTTGATTACTTTCATATCAGACATGTATAAATGTAACAGCATTTAGTTCCTTTGTGATAAGAGCAAGAAGAGACTATGGTATGTGGTAGCGTGTGTTTGTGAATGTTTTTGATATGTTTGAATTTCATAGGCGTTAAAATTAATTCAGTTCTTTGAAAAAATTTGTGAGAGATTTCATACTGCATTTAACATCCCTTGACCAAATTTAATAACAGGTTAAGGATATTAGACCTGAAATCCTTTTTCTTATCAGTTAGAGTAAATATTTTGTCGTTCTAGTAAAAATTTAGTGTTGATAATGCTCTATTTATCCCCAATATTTGTAGAGTTAATAGTGTATCATTCTGCTTTGAGTGCTGGGATGGTCGTGCTATATTACACAATATACACTGTCTGTGTTGTGTTTCTGGATAGTCTTGGTAGGTATGATATGCATTTCTCTGTTGGCACTCTAAAATTACCCTAGTGAAATAGATTAAAGATACAAATTTGATTGTAACCAACAATTTCATGCATGTTGCAGCTTCTGCAGGATTGCTGTCTTGTCTGAAGACCTTATAATCTGATAGGGCAGTGAACCTCATGTGAATGCTGGGATAATCCATTCATCTAATGGAATATTTATTCCATTAGATGAATTTGGAGGAAAGAAAGCTGTAATGGCTTTGTATAGTTCGTCTGAGCAGAGAATTGACTCAACCTTCGAACAAGTTAGAATGACTGAGCAGGCACACTTTCATTATAATATGCGGTACAACAACATGGCTGACTGAGTGCTCCATTTTCACTAGCTTTCTAGTGTTCTGAGGGAGATCAGCCAGTTTGTATACATAGCAAATTCAGTAACACTATTCATTTAGCTGTGCATGATGATACCTTTTAATACTCGATCAATTCTGCAGATTTGACTATTGTGTGATAATTGTATGCTCAGTAAACTAACAGTGATACTGTCTTCATAGAAATTGACTCAGCTTTGTCAGTATCTCCATTACCATGAAAATGTTCAGATCTGACTTATAGCTCTATAAAGCATTACATGAACATTAAAATTTGTAAATATTCATTATGAATCCATGAAACATAATGGAAGTAAATTGGCTGTGAAACATGGTTTCTTATTACCTTGAAGGAAGAACGTAAATTACACGTGTTTGGAAACAAGGTGCTTAGGAAGATATTTGGACCTAGGAAGGATGAAATAAGTGTGGAATAAAGAACATTACATAACGAGGAGCTGCATGAATTGTACACGTCACCCAGCATATTAGGGATGATGAAATCTAGGAGGCTCTGGTGGATACGACATGGGGAAGCAGGGGGTGCATACAGAATTTTGGTGAGAAATCCTGGTGAAGTCCACTGGGCATACCAAGGAGATGGGAAAATAATATCAAGATGGATGTTAGAGAGGTGGGCTATGAGGATGGTAAATGGGTGAAGTTTGGCTCAGCATTGTCTGGTGGTGGGCTTTGGTGTTGTCAGTGTTTGACCTGTGGGGTCTGCTACCAGGGGGGATTCTTGGAATGAATAGTCTGGGCAAGCTGGAAATGATTTCAGGTTTTTATGTACAAAAATGTTACATTGAAATCCTCATTTAAAGTTTTCCCACTTGTTCTGTGGTTGCAGACATATCATTTCAAGTTTAAATTTCCATCTTACAAGGGTTTTGTCAGTTTGATGTAAAAATTCATTGTCCCACAAAGATGTATTTTATGTGGATTGTACTGCATCTTCTGCCTAATCTCCCATAATTTTCTTTGTCCATTTCATTATACTGACTTACTGTTTGTGTTTTGTTCCATAATTGTCTCTGTAGATTTTTCCTACTTTATACTTGATGAATATTCCATTATTTTGGGGCACTGAATTCTAAAACCATACATACTTCAAGGTAACCAAGAGTTAACAGGTGGAATTGCTTACTGGATTAGAAAAATTCTAGAATTTATGCATAAGTTACACTCTTCACAATAAGCAAATTACATAACATGGAAATATGAGGCAATGAAATAGGATGTGCCAAATTTTGTTCCAACTACTTTATTATTTATATAATTTGATTAGTTTATTCACATAATGATAACACATTAACATTACTAAGGCTACTGAAATGTCTAATTTCTGTTAAACACAACTTTTTTTCAGCCATGTTCCAAAGTCCTCAAAATGATTTTTTCATTTTAAATTATGCTTCAAAAGAAATTATTAGAAAGTAAATTAATTACACAATAATTATAAAATACAACAAAAATTACAAACTTTGTTAACAGATTAAAAAAATGTATTTTTACAAATGCTGTGACACATTTTAACCATGTGACAAAAGCAGTGGATTCTGCAACAAACCAGTACCTCTGCTAATGATGGACTAGTGACCAACTAACCTGAATAACAATGGAAAGGCACTTTCAGTTACGAGTTTAATTTTCAAAAATTTTATACGTTAAAAATTGAATATCAATCCTGCTTTCCCAGTGATGATCAAGCTAGTTGGGTTTGTTTCACCATAATCTCTCACTCCTAAAACAGAGTCAAGGGACGACACACTGTTGAATTAAATTATATAGTTTATGTATCTGAGGGAATTCATAGAGACAATCTCGTAAAATTACCATGACAGTCTTCAAAAGTTATCACAATTACAGTGTTTGGTGCATGTTTATTACCAAACCAGAAGTCCTGCTGTTTTTCAGACAGGAAAATTCAGAAATTAACAGAGTAGATTAGCATGACTTCCTGAAAGGAATTGAAATTGTTGATGTATGACATAACATTTTCAATAATCCAATATTTGTGACAGTACACCAGAACTATGTCTTGTAGAAATCATGCACTAATGTCCAATGCTTCTGTACGAATGCCTCTAGTGTTACTGGTACAATTCCTTTGTATGGTATATTGTATTTGACAATAGTCCTTGCTGCAAGACAGCTTAGGGTTGTATACTTTAGTAGGTTTACTATTTCATGCACAGACTGTCCTTTGAGCAGCTGGGGAAAGCTGTGTCCAGCTGAATTAACTGCATCTGGATGTGCGCCATGATCCAATAATGTGCATATCAATTCAGGGGGACATGGCTTGGTCATTGCTGCCAGATGAATAGGCATATTTCCATTTTCATCTTGAGAATCTACATCAGCACCAACAGCTAACAAAACTTCAACAAGATGTGGTGATGGGAACTGACAGGCAGGATAACGCCCCACCAAAGTAGCATCCCTAGAGCAGGCTAAATGGAGAGCAGTGCACCCTAGACGTGTGCGGATATCTTGTTTCACAAGTTTATACATGAGACAGTGCACTTCGTGTTGTTGCTCCAAGGACAGGTCTGGCAGAAGTTTAGTTAAGAGACTGCCCAGATGGAGGGAAATTACAACTACACGATGTAGGTATGTTGCATCTCGTTCTCCTGCCGGAATCTTGTCTAGCATCTCGACACCTGCTTGCACCTCATGTACTGATTTCTTGAAAACAGTCATCAAGTCTGTGAAAGTGACAGGCGGAACACGTCGTCCCCGGACTGATGTTCGTCCCTGCTCACCCATCATGAATGAAAAGAGCTCGGTGAAAGAAAATAATGAACTCTGTGTCATGGGATTAAGGGGTTCCAGCATACTTTGCTGCATGTCCAAGGCGTAATTCCACAAATCAACACAGCGGTTGAATTTTCCAGCATCTGCGTACACTGCTCCTCGATATCGAATGTAATAGCTAGTGTCAGGATGTGCTGGGCCTAAGATACGTTCACGAATTACAAGTGCTTGCATCCGCATTTCATCTGGATCTGCTAATAAATCTTCTAAACCTTCCAGATCACTGATTTCTTTGGCATGATCATAGGCTGCAACTGTATTTCTCTGTCTTGGTTTGGGGAGATGCGTTGAACCTACATGATACCTGGAAATGGAATTCCAACTTTGTGTTTTAGTTACTGTCATAGGAAGTGGAATTAAAACTCTTATCAATTTTGTCATTTAATTAAAAGGTTCATTAGGAATAGAATAACTGTGATACAATTTACAAAATTTATTTTAAAACAATTTTAACACAACTGAAAGGTTTCTATGAAAAGTAACTTTAGTTCAAAATGGATCACTTTTTAGGTTAAACCTGCAATCAAAAGGTAGTAATGTTATACTGGCAAAAATATCATTGGTCTACAAGAAAGTGAATGGCAAAATATAAACATTCTTCTGCTTGTACTGCTGTAATTTTCAAATAAAAAAAGTCCACATATTTTCCCATATTTATGTAAAAGCACAAGACTTACATAACTGTAATCATACTCCTATGTTGCTATACATGTAAATTCATTTATACATAATAAAAATGCAATTTTCTTTGGTTCAGATGCTGGTAACGTTTCAATTTCCCAAAAAGATTAATTTTGGACTTACGTGATTTTTCCCAGAAAGCAGTCAGTTATGCAGCAAACATTTGTTTATATATATCACACTGTGTAAAGAGAAACAATGTAACTCATTTTTACAGTTTTTCAGGAGAACCAAAATACAGTTCTCAGGGTTGTCAAAATCAGGTTTTCTAGCTTCTTGAAAGTGTAATATCAAAGGTCACAAGAATGCTTACGATGTACTATTCATTTTCCACCTTAATTATACGACAAACACGGATGTTTTATATCATGCAAGTTGAAACTATAATGCTTCAGAAAAACAATAAGCATTAAAGAGATAAGTTACACTGTTAATGAAAGGAAACAGTCTGACATGGAAAAGTAATTAAAATGCATATTAAAGAGAGTGACAGAATGGAAGAGGAGACCCCAGAACTGATGTTTATATCAAACAGAGACAAATGAAGAACACTTGCGAAAAGATTGGATGATCATAGAGTAATGTGAAAGCTTTTATATATATATATATAGACACACACACACACAAACAAACAAGAACATTCGCCCATCAAGAATAGAAAAGTAATCTTGCCTGTCATCCATGGCTCTCTTCCATAGTTCTAGACCGCCAATCATGTCTCGTTTTTTGTCAACATAAGTGGCTCCAAGAAGTTCCAGTGCATCAACTCTCTCTGTTCGAGAAACTAGGCCTGGTAAATTGATAAGATATTCAACGATGTGTGTGTGACCTGTAACACTAGCTGCTAACAGTGGTGTCATTCCTGAAAATAGGAAACAGTGCATAAATGTGGTATTTATTCACTCACAATGTATCATACTGATGACATTTAAATAATATATCATATGATGGTGAATATTCTTAAAAAAACTGTTAGGGTGATGTGTTAAAGGAGGACAAAATAGACAAGGCGTGTGGGAGAAGAGGAATGGAGACGGATGTTTAGACAGAACAGGATATGAGGGTGTAGCCATAGTTAAGACCTTGTTCTCAACATCCCATCCAACACGATAGTATGGTGACTATATTCAGTGGCAGGATCTTGTGAACCCCACTTAATGGTACTTGCACCTTGTCGTGGTGGTGGGGCTTGTGTACTTCAGTGACCCCAAGAGCTATGCTGGTGGTAGCATAGCTACTGGTAGGGCCTCCCTAGCCAGATTGGTCAAGGGGGAGAAGTCAGACTAAGACAGGTACCCTGGTCCTCCAGGTTGGGGGTTGGTCGCAAGGCTAACAACCTTGCACCGTAAAAATGAAGATGTTTCGAAACCTCAATCAAAGCCTCGGACAGACGGACCAAATGGAAGAGAATTGAGGAGGCCACGGACCGGAGAGCCATAGAAGAAGAAGAAGAAGGATCTTGTGAACATAGTAACGAGTCTTCAGACTTCGTAGAAGGTAGAACATTTATTTAGTAGTTATGACTATTAGCTTTTCTAGGACTCTGCTATGATTTGGAGGACTTCTGTTTGAATTCTGACACTGATCTCCCTATCTAAAAACATACTTACCAGTTCCATGTTTTAACTTCTGTACTTACAATCTGGCATAAGCGAAATCAGAACATTGCTTTTGTGTGGTAGCTTCCTGAACACAACACAGTATACAAAAAATGAGTAAATTGTGTTTTTATGCTACATTCCACAGACTGCCACACCACAAGAACCAGTATAACAAGCAAATTATGATTACATGTGCATAGTGGAAAGTACTGACCTTCCATTTTGAATTCTAATGGATAAATTACTTACCATACGAATCTACATCCATTTTTGCGCCATGCTCTATAAGCAGCTTTAGTATGTCCCAGCTTCCTGATTCTGCACAGTCATGAAGAGCAGTATTTCCTTTCACACTCTTACGATTCACATTAGCGTCTAGACTGAGAAGAAATTTGGCAATGCGGAAATGTCCTTTATAGCAAGCAATCATGAGGCATGTGTGGCCATGGCGATTTGCAACTTCAATATCTGTCCAAAAATACCACAAGTAAAACAGCTCTTAAAACTGATGTTAAAATATTTGCCCTGTTTAAAAATAACTACAAACAATTTAAAAGTACAAATGAAAACTATTTTGGCTCAGTAAAGATGCCATGCTACATGTATACTTGGAGGGAAGTGGGGGAGGAGTTTTTGCATCTACACATTCCCGACCTTGGTATTAGATAGAGGGTGTGTTCAGCATCACGTCCCGGCCATGCTTTACCCTCAGGGAAAGGGTCCCGGTACTTGTTGGATAAGAGGCTTGGTGGGACCCAGAGCCTGCCTGGATGAAAGTGCTAGAAGAAAAATCCTTTCCCCGTCAGGGATCGAGCCTTGGTTGTCCAGTCCATAGTCAGACACTAACAGACTGAGCTACCCTGGCTCATATTTTGACTCAGTCCTTTGTATAAGTAATGATGTTACTGTACCTAAGATCTGGGCATGTGAAGGGCAAAAAGGTAAAGTCTCACATACCCTTAACTTAGCACTAGATGGAAATTAAGTAGCAGCTTCATGAACCAGTTGTTTTAGGTTCAGAGAAAAAGCTCCCAGTAGCTGCTGGACAGACTGCAAAGCTAGCATAAATTTGGAGATGATGGAGAAAAATTCCTAATCCTGCCAGGAATCAAACTGCTGGGAGGGTGTGGATTGGATTCATCAGGCTTGAAATAGGGACCAATGGCTGACTTTCTGAAAATACTAATGTTCAATTAAATTAACAATACTTCATGTTCCACAAAAGGCAGAGAATCTTCTAATAGATATCAACTACTGGCTTCTCAAGAATGACTATACTAAATGGAATTAGTTCTATGTGATAAATAGGAAAAATCTTATTACTTAACTTCAGTACATCATAGTTTATGTCTAAATAAGTGGCCACTTAGAAATGCATAGGAGTATCAAATTTTTCATTAATACTGAAAGGTGTTACAAGTGAGGAATGATAATTTGTCATTGCCACTAGTTTTCTGTCCACCTGCAATTATTATCTTCATAACTGTAAGTTACTTTATTAATGAGCCCTCTAAATCATAACAAATTACCAATGACCAGTTACGAACACTATAACACAGTAAAAGCATGGATCGTCACTGTAACTTTCCACTTGTTCAGAAGGATCATAATGACCTGTACAGAACCCATAAAAATTTACAACATACATATTCCTGTCTACCTCTGTACATGAAAAAATTCCATATCTTCTATTTAAAAAGACATGATGTACAATATTTCTAAGAATCCATTCCCTGGAAAGTAGGCTTTTATGAAGATTTCATACGATTTTAACTTACCTGCACCATGGTCTACAAGAAACTTAACAATTTCAAAATGTCCATCGAAACATGCCGCTCGAAGTGGCGTGGAATTGGTGCGTGTCGTACTGTTGACGCAAGCCTCGTTACGTACCAGAAGACGAACCACTGGCAAATGTCCTGCAGCTGCAGCACACCACAGTGGTGGCGCACCTTCGATAGTCTCTCCATCAAAGACAACTGTCAGAATGACCAACAACAACAATTTTTGTTGTTAAGGATTTTTTGACAACTGCACAAATCCAAAGATAAATATTCATCTGGTTCCAAAGAAGGGCAGCTCACTGTTGCAGACACAAAAATTGTAACATTCTTCGCTACCAGTATTTTACAGATCATTTCTTCCTTTTGTTTTTCAATAATAAATCCATAAATTATACAATATAGATTGTCACATCCTGTTTCCAAAAAAGGAATACTCAAGACTTGTTACAAATCTTGACAAAAATACACAATGGCTGTGATCTAATAATGAAATGTTCCAAAAAAGTGATAGTGGAACCACTGTTCCGGAGAATTAGACGTAAATACGTCTATACGGAAAGGAAGTTTATATATTGGCTTTATTCTAAATATTTCCTTTATACCTGCTTTACAATTGAGTAAAATTTGATTAAGACTTTGCTTATTTAACTTGAATTAGTTACGCTTAAGATGGGTCTGTGGTAGCTGAATGTGATGTAAAGTAATGTAATGTAATGTAATGTAATGTAAGGTAATGTAAGGTAATGTAATGTAAGGTAATGTAATGAAATGTTTTATAGGTAACAACAATGCTAAGTAAACAGATGACGTTTCCTTGGTAACAATAATGCCGAGTAAACAATTGATGTTTCCAAGGTAACATAACAATGCAGTTACACTTTTTCGTTTCACTTTTTGCCGAATGACACTGACCCTAAAATATAGACGTATTTACGTCAAAAAATACCACATGCATGCAACATGCAAGATTAATGCCTAAACAAGAGACTTTTAAAATATCATAAGTGAATATAACAGTACATCAGAACTCTAACATCCTTATTAAAAATCAAAAATACACATTAAAATGTTTTCAGATTTGTTTCGAGTCTGTTCTTGCTGGGATGGTTTTGTATATCCCTATATAGCAAACAGCCACTATGACCTGTCCAGTTGAAGATTTCTGTCTTCTGGGTTGTTGCGCTGTGTAGTCTGGTCGATGTTAACCAACGTTTCATTCATCGCCCTGATGACGGAGGCAGTATGACCTCTGAACCGTTGGTGAACATCTACCATACTACATGGCGCAACAACCCAGAAGACAGAAATCTTCATCGCCCTGATGACGGAGGCAGTATGACCTCTGAACCGTTGGTGAACATCTACCATACTACATGGCGCAACAACCCAGAAGACAGAAATCTTCATCGCCCTGATGACGGAGGCAGTATGACCTCTGAACCGTTGGTGAACATCTACCATACTACATGGCGCAACAACCCAGAAGACAGAAATCTTCATACTCACCACTGTGAAACCCTCAAATCTTACACCTGTCCACTTGGCCGCTGTGCATCATCCAATGCCAACCAGTTATCCACACATCTGGAAAGATGTGGCAACCCAGGAATTGCATTCAGGGTTATAAAAGTACAACCTTGATCATTCTCTAAGTTTCTGTATTACAAAGAGCATGTTCTGCTAAGACTGATATTCAAAGGTTAATACATTTTTCTTTCACTAACTATAGTTTTAAAAATTATGTTCTTGTTATTGCAATGAAGGTCTTTTTAGTAATCGTTTATTACTTTAAAAGGAACGTGGTCTTGAACATGATGCCTTCGCCACGAAGATGCCTAGTCCGACCAATGATCTTCATACTTCTTTACCTGTTCAGAACCATTCTCTTCACTCTGTAACATGCTGTTACAGCAGTTAAAAGTGCTTCAGACATTTCAATGTAAACAACTAACAAGGTGTGTCAATTCCATCTGAAAACCATGTTCAGAAGTTGACAAAATCAAGTGGTACATGGTCACCTCACTGAAAACATTTTGTATCTTCACACTTTTTCAGCACTGCACTATCGTTTTTATGAAGAAATATACAAAAATGTTGACAATTTCTTTTGAGAACACACACACAAACAGCCATATAGATTTCTTTCTCATTGTACACGACAATACTGCGGCATACTGGGTTAAAATTAATGGAAGTTTGAAAAACAAAACTAATAAATTTGTGCCATCACTGGGAAAGCCTCAAATCCTCTAACCAACGTGAAAAGCTGAATAAGGTGACTTACGTAAGCATTACATATGCTGACATGAAAAAATTTTCTGACCTCCAATCTTCAACACAATAATATATATCATATCAAAACTAAAAACAAAGGACTATGAATGCCAATTACAGTTTCTATAAGATGTTGAAGAGGTTTACAAAGACATAAAAAGGATATGTCTTTTAAAGTGAGTTTCAATGAGATTTTGAAGACAGTCATCTTTAGACTCACCACCATGAAAACCTCAAATCCTATTCAATGAGATTTATTCCATGTCCCCCCCCCCCAAAAAAAAAAAAGAAGAAGAAGAAGAAGAAGAGAGAGAGAGAGAGAGAGAGAGAGAGAGCATTTATCAAATTTTATCTTTTGTATACTACAGAAGTATGACAAAAATATTTTGTCATACAAATTCTCAAATGATCACCATCTGGGATAGACAGTAGGTGGGCCCATTGGGAAGCACAGTTGTACAGAGTCCCATGTATCCTATGTAATTTGGAACCTATCTAGTAGCATGCGATGGCGATGTCGTGCAAAGTGACCACCTCATTTCCTGATCATTCACTATCGGCTGCTGTGGCTTACAGTCACGGTGAGTTCCACGTAAAGTGGGACGCACTATACAATACTTACTTAAAGCACCAACTGTAGTATTACGCAGCATACCACATACTGAACAGTGACAATGAATATTTGTGTATGTGGGGAAATTGTGATTCTTTGCTTGCAGTATTACAATATATAGCATATTGTATTTTATCATTAAAACCCTACCTGATCCCGGTTGCTCAGTATTAGCTTTACAGTGTTCTATGAGGTATTCTGCTACATCATAATGGCCATTGCGACATGCCATCACCAGAGGAGTTGCACCATTTGTTTTAGCAGCTACCAACATCAACACTTCTTCCTTTGTTCGATGATCCAAAAATACCTGTATTCAATGACACATACAAATGAGAAAGCAATCTAATGCTGACAGCTACTATTATGGCATCATCTGAAGACATCAAAGTATTTTTTCCATGCCCATCCCTCAAATAAAGAAGAAATGCATGATTATGATACAGAATTGGAAGAAAAAATCGCTATACTGGCTCAAATGGACCAAGTCCGGTACAGTTTTTACAGGGATATCTAGCTCAAACTGATTCTCAAACATAAACCTCTTTTCAGTTGCAGAGTAAATATTAAGACAATAGAATAGTGGAATTCTTGTGGGCTTGTTAGCGCTTGGTGTGAAAGAGAGAAAGAGAGGGACTTGTGCAGCTACTACGACGTATTAAACCAGGAACTTGGCGAAAATCGACATGCAGTGACGTAAAACAAGAAACAAAGGAAACACGTTCGACCTACCGACGAGACATCACTTCCCGATTTTCCGCTCTCCTTTCCATTCCAGGGATAACAAACTACGAAAATGGACAGTGACCTCGGTCTGAAAGCAACGTGCTCTGTAGCAATAAGGAATTACAATCTCATTCAGTCGGTTCACCTTGTTTCAACAGCGGACTGCCTTGACATTCCAAATGTTCTCTTTACTTCCTACAAGCAAAGCAATTGCCCGTACATGGCACATATATTCAAGCTTCTGCAATATAACTGCCACACTGTATGCCACCTAACTCACATTATAAATCAATCGGTGACACTGACGCAAGAGGCGAAATACAAATAAAATATTATGTCTCGCATGCAGATTATCAGAATGACATCCATTATCAAGTTACACTTTGTCCACCAAAAATGCGTCTCTTTGGTTTATCCATTTCATATAGAACGTCACGAACTTCGAAAATTGTCTTGTTGGTATACACATTCGACGCACATGCAAAGCGTGTGATTAGCCTGAATTCAGTACCAGTATACATTGGTCCACATCCAGCAGGGGGGTTTAAGGGAGGGAGGACAATAATAGGACAGCTATTGGAGGCGAGAGATTCTGAGTTTATAAAAACACGGGAAGATTTTTTTTTTGCAAGAACCGTTGCTGAATTCAGAACAGTTGGGGTGTCGTTTCATGGATTTTTTTCGAAAACAATGCGTATAATAACCTTAACAACTGTGTACCTTTTACGGGACTGGGACTGTTACCTAAAACAATAATCTGACGTCAAATGAGACACACCAATTTGGTCCTTAGCATAATATATTACAAAATGAGCATACTTACAGGACATTTATAACTATTATTAGCACAGCCAACACCATGTAACCGACTAATATACGTTCAAAATAACTATTTAAGATGACTACACATTTCTAGAAGGAATCGATGGACAAATGCCAAAAACTGACACAGAATTTACGTCGTTTATTCTGACTTGTCGAAAGAATATCGTTCGTATGTTTTCAAAATGAATTTCATGGAATCTTTCACAATACCGTTGCAGTGTGGCCACTAGTCATATTTAATTGAACAAATTTTTAAAGATGGCACATTAAAGCTATTATTTCGGCCAATTTACTGCACTCTAGACTAATATATAACTCGATTTTTGTATAAAGTTTTATTCATAACAGCAATATTGCAAACGCCAAGAGAATAAAAAAATTATTTGTTATTTAACGACACCCTATTATGTGGCGTTCTACGCGCAAAACAATAGAAACAAATTTAATTACTCGAAAATGTTAAAAAGTACTATTCGTTTACCGTACACAATAAGTAATTTATATGCTTTACTTCACATGAATTGGCTTATTCTAATCACTCAATCGTATGAGAGAATACGGTTTACGAAATACTGTATGTAGGGCTTTGAAAAAGACAGCAAAGTCTAATTAACCTCACCAACAGGTCTAAAATTTAAAACTGTTTTTTGGTAAAGCCTTCAGTGAACATTTAATCAGCCAATTCGGATTACACGTACTCAGAACGGAGTAAAGGGCCATACATAAAATCTTAATACGTAGTTTCACTCACTTACCTTCAAGCGTCTGAGTTTGCCATCCCTTGCGGCATTGAAGATTACGTTTTTCAAGTCCATTTTTGCATCATAACCTGGGACACAGGTCCTGAGACTACCGAATTTCCAAAAATTATCCGCCGCAACTCGTCTTTGCAGCTGTGAAGGACATACTGAACAATCGAACAAAACACAATATGGCTCACTTGATGTTAGTTCCAAGGACGATCGTGAGAGGACTCTGGTGTTCAATTTGTGGACACTTGAATGCTGTTTCCAGAGATCATAAAAAGGCAGACTAAACACTTGCATTAAAATTCGTTTGAGGCAAACATGAAATCCAAGACGTTTTAATCATTAAGTCCAAAAAACAGGGAGTATTTAATTACACTAGGCTACTGCTATTTGTACAATATATATAACTTGGAATATCGTATTGGCTTATATCGTTCTCGTATGCTGCTGCGATATGTACTCAGTTATGAATCTGAACTGTATAGTCTTTTTCAGTACCTAAGAGAACCGTCCTTGGTACAAGTGAATAGGCTTTCTATTATAATCTCTGGTCCAGACTCCACGCGGAGTTGATGAGTAACTGTCACTCTAACTGAATTGGGCGGAGAAAACTGAAAGCTGTACGATTATTGGTGGAGAAGGACGTGACGTTTCAGTTTTGTATACCACGTGGGCCATACGCCATTATGAGCGGAGTATCTGGCGCTGTCGGTGGTGGAACAATGGATTGTGCGCGTTAGATGTGCGAAAACCTGACAATTTTTGTGAAATTTGAATTAGGATGCGCGAATATAGCTCGACGATACGGAGGAGATGTGCGTGTCTTTGGTTGATATTGTGAAACAGTGCTGTGACGGTTGTGGCGTAGACAAGTTGTGAAGAAGTTTGTGTGCTGTGACAGGAAAGATAGGCCTGTGAAGTGTTGTGGGGGGCGATCCCGGTATATTTTTGCTGTAAGTGGAAAATGTGGAGGTGATGTACCCATGGCATTGAGCCGCTGCTGACTTGTAAACAGCAGCCATGTACCCAGCCCCTGCTAGGCACCCATCTGCCGCGGTGAGTGTTCGAAATGTTTTGCAATAAGTTTGAGTTCATTCATTACAAGTTCTTCTGTTAAGTTTCTGACCGATTTTTTTTTGTTATGATATTTTATTACAAGCCGTAATATATGGTTGATACGACAAGGAAGTGTCAAATATGTCCATTCATCAGTATTGACATAGTAAAAGTCGTTGACTTCGATGGAATGCCCCTTCCGTTCGCATACACATCTTGTACCAGCAAGATCTATGTATCAACAGTATCACCTGGACGTGTTTGTTGAGTGAAATGTAAAATTTGAACTCTACACTTTCGTATATATTTTCCCTGTTCAGAAAACGTTCCTTTGTATAAATAATGTTGAATGTTAAAATTTTCTGCGTCAGTGGAGGTTTTGTGATGGGAAGACACTATTATGGAAAGTACGTATAAAGTAGGACAATTAAGAGATTCCATTCTCCTTGCCAAGCCCTCAACCAAATTGTCCCGTCCAGTAGACCGCAACGGAGTCGCCGCATAAACCCATACTCCACCTCACTCCACCGTCCACAGCGAAGCCCCTCTCGTCCCGCTGCCTTTAAACAATCCCTCTCTGTCTTTCTCTTTCGTGGTCGTGCAGCAACAAGCTCCGGGTCAGGAGCAGCCGTGATGAGCCACGATAGAACAAGGTGGCGGGCCGCGGAACAAAGACCATCCGTCGTGCAAGCCCAAGCTCCGCGCGTGGAAATATAAAATGATGAATGCAGGC